ATAAAATGTAATTAATAATTTTAAAAAAATATTTTATGGATATATCAAAGTTTTTAATATAATAGTTTGATATGTATATAACATGAATCTAAAAAAATCTTTATTGATCAAATTACAAAATTTTTTAAGTTTTACTAGGAATCAATCAGAAAGATCTATTTATTTTTCATGACAAATTTGTATATATATAATTTTGTAAATTTAATATTCCTATTTAAATAATGATAAAGGAAGGACTTGATTCCTCAAATTTATCGAGAAAAAAATTTCGAGATATTTAGAAATATTTTTTAAAAACCTAGGATGTCTTGTATATATATATTGCAGCGAACGCAATTTGACAACAAAAAGGCTAACGACTCTAAACGACATCTTCGCTTAGCATTATCATCTTGGATTTTTATCGGCGCACTCGGATCCGTGCACCTCAAAATCAAAAGCGTCATACGTGCTCGCGAAGCGGAACAAGCCACCCCTTCGTCGCAGGGCGCGTGTAATATAAATTAGAATTAAGGCCAGTGTTACGTGTATACGCAATGTACTACTCATATCATACGACGAGCTCGTTAATTAATTAAAAAGGAAAAAAACATAATGAAAAAATACCGATAGTTGTCTGCGCGGCGAATTCCACGGTGCAAGAGAGAGAGAGAGAGAGAGAGAGAGAGAGAGAGAGAGAGAGAGAGAAAGAAAAAGAATGAGTGTGTGAAAGAGAAACTTCGAGAAGCGAAATCGTGAAGAGGATTTCTCAAGAGACAAATAATCTCGTCACATCGACTGGATTTATTCCCCCCTCCTTCGATCATTATAGACTTTGAGATAATTTCCTTCGAGCCACGAAACTTTTTGTTGAAACGTTATGTTGTTAATCGCGTATCGTATGTGTGTGCGAATGCATGCGTGTGTATGAGAGTGACGAAAACGATTTGTAAATTCACGCAACTGGTACTTCCAACTTGTTATAATACGCTATAAATCTGGTGTATATCATTACATGCCATATCCACGACGACGAAGTACATTCTTTCTTCAACAACACAGGCACATCCCCCGCAACATCCTCCCGGGGATCGATCACTTAAGCTTCTCCTTTCGCGACAAACCCTCGTAGTTCCTTTTCAACTGTTACAATTACGTTTAATCAATGATTTCTCTATCTTTTGATCCGTATTATAAAATAGATCGTGAAATTAGATTGAATTAAACTTCGACTTGAAACGACGAAAAGTATTTTCCTCGTTGATTTTGTGTGATCGATCCTCTTGTCTCTAGGCTTACTTCTTTTTGCTGTTCTTATTTTGATAGACGGATTTTACACGCGAGATATATATCTATAGAGAAAAGTCTGTAATAAAATATATATATAAACATACAAATAAAACTTTATGCCATTTACAATTCACTTTTTCTTGCAAAAAAAAAACACGAAGAGAAACTAAAATGTAAGCTAAAAGGAATGTTTATTGGGAAATACATATTCAACAAGATATTTGATATATAAATTATCTAGAAATATGCGAAGGTACAGGTTAACGATCATTCAACAGATACATTATCATCATTCAGTCACATACATTACATTAAATTAGTGCATATTATAAAAGCTACTATACATGAAATCAGCAAATGTAAAAGCACATAAATATTTTAAACGATTAAATATTTAATATTGTTATGTAAGAATGTACATGTATTATTTCACTGTCATAGATTATATTATATTTAGATACTTTATATAAAGTAGCTTTTAATATGCATTATCCAGTGTAGCGATTGACCGAATTCACTTCTTTTTTATTCCTAGTTTGAAAAATTTTCAGATTACATAACTACATGTCTTCATCATTTATTGACAATGTATGGATTTTTTCTTCCGTCTTTTCATCATCTGATGTTTCTTCATTACAAGATATTTCGTCTTCTATTTCTTCCTTATCTGACATGCTTTTCTCCAACCAATCGCTGTGTGAACTACTGCTCTCTTCATTTCTTCTCTTGCGGATATGCCCATAATGATCTATAATTCTAAATTCATCACATTCGTTTTCGTCGCCAGAAATATCGAGATAATCACTGAATGATTCAGATGTACGATCAGGATCCGTATCGGGATAATCATTTTTCCAATTTGATTCTGCATTAGAATCTGAAGATTCATCATCTTGTTCAAACTCTACTGAGTCTAAGTAATCTGGTCGTCGTACCAATATATTATCCTCATCATTTTCAAACCATAGGTCATTAGCAGTTTGTGCACAATACAAATCATATACATAATTGTCAAGCTCCTGAAACATATATCTTATATTATAAACATATATCTTATATATATATATCTGTTCATACATTTTATATGCATATAAATTTTATTTAAGTTCAAATACTGATTCTATTCTTAATTTATATCATACACACATTGTAAAAAATGATTTATATATATATATATAATTTTTGTTTATTTCTATTTCCTATCTACTTTTCTATTTAAAGGATTTCATTTTTGCCTTATCTATCTCTTTCTTATCTCTGCATTAATTTTTAATGAAGCTAATATATGGAGTACTTTTCTTTATTACAATATATATAATGGCTGCCAAAATTAATAAATAATTTTATTGTATTGTAATAAAGAACAAATAAAGATCTAAAACCGGTTCTTCTTTGAAGAAAATTCTGGTGCAATAAGTGGAAATTAAACAAATTTTACTTGTTTCATTCCAATTTATTGTACTATTGTACAATTACTTCAAGAACGAATAGAAGTACTTGTAGTATAGAAGTACTTAATATATTCTAGTATTTAAAACATGTATTGTGTTCTTGAGTTAAATATAATAAGAATTTTATTAATTTATAATATAAATTGAAGAACACAAATTGACAAAAAAACGATAAAAAATTATATTTGCCGGCTTAAAACTTTTAATCATTCTATATCGTAAATATTAGTGAGTGAATTTTTTTTACACAAAAAAATTTTGATTGTCACTTGCCTCTGAAACATTTAGATCCTTCACTTGCTCTTCTATTGTATGATGATGAACACTAAAGAGATCTTCCACATCTATGAGTACCATATTCATATCCTTAAACTCTGGATCGTTCGATGTATCTAGTGATTGGTAATCGGTAACTTTGTATCTGTCATCTATCCATTTAGGTATTTTTCCAGAAATATTTGCAGGATAGTCACTATCAGATACTCTCTTGACACCAGCTTTGAGATTTTCTATGTCCAGGAACTTACTCACATGCTTCGTAACATTTTCGGTCTAAAATATTCAATATATCCTTTAAGTTCTTCAATAAACCTGTTTATCTCTTTTCCTTCCTTTTCTCTTTCCTTTTTTGCTGATAAAAATTTCTTAAGAGTCGACAGACTATGACTCTAGATTTAAATAAATTTTACAATGAGCCTAAATTAAATTTTATATATCTAAAGCTCTATGATAGGATAGTATTATTAT